TTATATGTAACGTCATATATAAAAATATATGTATAGGTGTGTGTGCGTGTTGGGTGTGTGTGTGTGTGTGTGGTGTGTATCTCAAACGTACATAGAATAAATACTCACTAACTCGCATAAATAACCAAAACTAGTCGAATGACATAACATCCTTTAAAATATACACGAATGTAAACGTATTCAGATAATAACTTACTCGGCGTTCATTTCGTTGACCTTTTTCTTGGCCGCGATGGCTCTCAATATCTTTAAGACAAACCGGAGGACGTTGAGATGCACCTCCGGCATTACCATTCCCAATTGGAGGAAGGTCTCGTCGTCATTTAAAGATCTGTGATAAATCATAGATAGATTCATGTAAACATCTACATCATATGTATCTCATGAGCTGCTGAGGCAAGTTTTATGCACAGTACAAGCACATGCTATTACATCACATCCAGCGGTATGCACACACAACTGATCAAGCACGACTTACTTTTCGAATTGGATCAATTCGCTGGTGGTGATGATGGGTTCGGGAAGGTTTTTGATGTACACCTTCAACAACCCAGTGAGAACTCGAGAGTCCTCCACCTCGGAGAGCAACCCCTTCACATCAGCGTTGGGCAGCTCTACTTTCTTCTCCAGCAGTTGGATCTGCTTAAGCCCGCCTGGGAGGCGGAAGATACCTTTGGTGGTTAAAAACCTGTATCGGAGAAAGTACAGTTGATGGATTAGACCGTGTGTACGGTATATATTGTGCATATATCATTCGACTGCACCGAATCACCCGTGGTACACACGACTTAAAAGTTATCATTGAGAGCTAATTATACTATCATCACATCTAAAACTTACTCTTGACGGCAGATCTGACTTCCAAGCTCGTAAAGAAACTCGGGTATCGCTGACTTGAGTTGGTCCACGTAATTAAACGCTTGCGATGCCAAGTTCTGGCCGATGTATGTGCACGACTTAATTGGAGACTGCATGATAAATACCACAATATTCCAAGGTACGATCGATTAGCAGTGTGACTTATTTTACACATCCAAAGTGAACTTAATCAAAAAGTAACTCTAATCATACTTATTGGACAGCTGTATTAAATGTATCAAAACAAAAGGATGTGACCCAAGTGAGCGAGAGAAATGTGATACACATACCGTTGTGGCTGGTGTGTTTAGATCCGGCATAATCTTCTTCCTCAAGAGCGCCGAGTAGGACTCCGAAGGGCCGTAGGTTTGGTATCGTGTCTATATAGCAAAATGATGAATCAAACATGTCAATAAGCTAAAAATGAATAGTAATTGGAAAACCAAACCAATTTACTGCCGGGATTAGTATTAATCTGTACAGCATCGAACCAATGTGCACGAATAAAACAGTGACAAACCTTGGCTGGCAAAGCCGCTCCCGCAGTTGATGTGACAGTTGAAAACATGTTGAATTATAATATTACTTTTAAGCAGCGTGTGCTTTTAAATAAAATGAAGATAGAATTAGTGTGTCAAGTTAATGTATGCTGTATTTAATAGTGTGTAAAACTGAAAACACTTTGTCTCTGGTGTTTCCACTGTTTAGAAATGATATAATGGGACTAGGGAATAGGGATTGGGGTTGCTGTAAATAACTAATCACAACAAGGCGGCTGCGGTATTGCACTCTAAAGGAAACATAGAGGGTTATGGCTGCAGTAGAGACCGTCGTCCAGAGCGGATGAAACATGAATCCCAAAATGCGAAATGATTCGCTCATACTTTTTAAGTTTCAAATCTTCGTCAGTTTGAGTTTTGAGTTTCAGTTTATCGTCGTATAATCTGAAAGTATTTTTTTGATTGGATTTCTATTGAGAAACTTGTCGGTGGAGTGCCAATGAGTTCCGTCGGAGTTTTACCAGCGTTAAAAGAACAAAAAATCGTAAAACTTCTGACCTATGAGGATATGAGGATATATTTAGATATGCTCTATGATGTTGTAATTCAGTGTCAGTCTGTAGACCAGTTTTACGATATGTGCAATTGTGCATAAATTTTACTTTTTGAGTGATGTAATATAACCTTCACTCTGTAGTGGAGGAAATATTTAACAGATAGAGTAAAAATGAATATTGCACAACAGTATGTATTCATAAAATCAATGTCAAAAGCGCTATGATTAGAAATGGACTGTCAGTTGAAGTTTAGCAGTCCAAAAGGGAGAGGTGATTGTAAGGTAATCAGGGCTTAAACACTTATGGCTTTGTCTTTGAAATATTGGGATAATATAGTTGGTTCTACATGCTATTATATTCAGGACTTAAACAAATTCGGCTTCGTCTTTAAAATATTGAGGTAACAGCTGGTTGAAACACGATATTGTGACCTTACCAAATACCAATAACCAAACAGTTCGTGTAAAGAAGCTGTGCTCTCCCGATTCCCGAACAATGAAGTGAAGGATGAGAAAGGTAAAGGATTTCAAATACACGGTGGAGAACCAAACGATAAATAAGCCTTTACTCTAGTACCTCTAATGGAAACCCAAATCAATAGCTTCCAGACGGATATATAGCCACACAACTCTGATTATTGGTCACAGTATTGGCCCCCTGACAGCGACGTAATAGCATAAGGTGACAGCCACTTATGTGTGCTGTGTGATGAATCCTATCAGTCTTCTGCATCACGTAAGATGGTAGAGTGCAGTATTGTAGATGGTGGAGGGTCCCTCCCCGGGCTCCAGGGAGGCGGCCCGTCCTGTCCTGTCCCCTTGGGGTTCCGTAGGTACTCTCTACGAGAGTGTAGGATGTCCCTGACACCCACCACCCGCAACGATCAGTGTCGCAGTGTGCTATTTCGGCTATATCACTTTCCGCCACAGACGAAGCTCTACAGACCGAGAAGTTTTGCAAATATGTTTTATTGCAATTTCGCAGCCACATACATTGCCGGTTGATTCACTTGGTGTTTAACCATGTGACAAACACTCCACAAATGCTGCTATGTGTATACAAATATAAA